AAAAAAAAAAAAAAAAGACAAACACACACATACACTCAAAAGGCTGACCGGAAAGTGGGAAACGTTGACCGTAGGTTAAGGCTGAGAAAGGTGGATTTTCCACACCTAAAGAGCTGCTCGGTGTAGCCTGTTCAGGCTAGTTTCTCGTCACTCCATTTCTGTTCCTGTTTGTTTCTCCACTTCTGTAGTCTGATTTCTTTAAAATACCGCACACAAACACAACTGTGAATTTCAACACCTCTTTGGTTTATCATATGAAAGGTTTTGTTTTTTCCGCCTTTTCTCACTGTTGCCAACAGCAACAAATCCCAGTATTAGAAACCTGCCCTGTTTAGGTTTGCCATCTTTGTCACAAGGGTTTATTTTGTTTTGATTTGTTTTCTTCCTTTCTTCCTGGTTCTTCCTTTCTGTTTTCTACATACCTGGGTTCGGAGCGCCGTCTCCACATGAACATCAATGCTGTCCAGATTTTTCCAGAGTCTAGCTGGGGTGGTTTCCTCAATGCCAGTGCTGTGACGAGAAGAAGAAAAGGTCCTTTGCTCTAGGCGCTGTGGATTAATGCCCCCCTGAACCCCACTCGTCCCCCTCCCTTCCCCTCTACCGTTTTCCCCCCCAGTGGCCAAACTGTATTTATGCTGCTAGATGAATGGGGAAAAAGAAAGAGAGAGATGGAACTTTTACTTGCTGTGACGTTTTAGTCCCAGGCAAAATTCCAAATTGAACTCTATGTTTGGACTTACAGAAACAAAATATGAGAAAAAAAGGTAACATCCAGCTTTTTATTTTCTGTTTTGTTTTTGCCACTGAAACTTGAGCCAAACGTGCCTCTACGAGGCCGAGAGGAGGGAGCGTGTCCGACAGATACCGGCGGGGAGCGCCCGCAGAGAGGAAACAAGGGGATGTACACTGTTGGCGTGCGTGCGTGCGTGTGCATGAGTGCGTGTGTTTAGCGTGTTAATGGGCAACTTGTAAACACATTCCTTGGGACAAAGCTCTTTCGGCCTGTTCTTTGGGGAAATGTACAAATGCTGTTCAGACTGGCAAAGACAAAAAAAGCGAAAATATTTAAAAAAAAAAAAAAAAAATCCTAGCAGATGTATCGATTTTTAACAGGTGAATGAAAGAACTGTCCATATCCGTGCGTGTGATTGTTGTTCCGTTCAAAGATGTCTGAAGCAACAGAGGAGATCATCACAAGCATCAACTGACAGGCGGAGCTGCCGGGAGTCTTAGTGTTACATGTGTCACAGTCGAAATCACCCAGGCGGCCTCGCGGGTCGTCATGGGGGGAGAAATTTTAACAAAACAAAAAAATCCCACAAAGGCAACAAAACATGAACAGAAACATTGTAGCCAAACAAAAACCGTCCCAATCTCCAAGAGTCACAACTCAAGCTGAACTGTGAAAGTGGTATAACACTGTATATTAAAAAAAAAAAAAAAGAAAACAATCTTGCTCTATCTCCTCTTGTTGTTTTCTCCCTCTGATTTTAATTTATGATCTGGTTTGAGAAATCAGATTTGTTGCAGGTGTTTTTATTTCTTTTTTTTTCTTTGTTTTTTTCCAGTTCATGTAAACTGCCTGGCAAAAAAGAAAACGGACAGAAAAAACCTTAAAGGGATTGTGTATTTGTTTGATTCACTTAGAATTTTATTTTCTTATAACTTAAGTGCAATAAAATGTGGGTTTTTCTTTTTTCATTTCAAGCTGACAGTTGTCTGTTTTTGTTACCTGTATGAAGGCATCTTATGTGTTCAATAAAGCAAATTATTTGGTAATTACATCCACAAGGGAATAATTTTAAACATTAATCACAGCGCAGTCTTAGTCTTCTAGTTTTGTCGCCGGTGTGATCAGAGCACCTTCACAAAAACAGATATCCGACTTCAGTTTAGTCTCCCCTTCAAGATGGGCTTCTTATGTCGCTCTGCACCATTTCCAGCACTCCTGCTACTTCCTGTGTACTCCCTGGAAGTCCCGTTCTGACCACTTAAAATGCGCACACTTGCATGTGACGTCCTGCGCAGTTTTCAAACAATAACTTTTCAATTTGTCCCATTTCCCAGAAAATAAAATCAAAGTATCAGAGAGACAAATCTGTGGACTAATGCGAGATTTACAGTAGTGACTTTATGTCCAGTTGCTGATGAAAAGAGCAGCTAAGGGCATTTTTCATTCCGCCATTATAATTTGTCGCTCCGGCAGGTGTGGATCCATGTTTGTGATACGAGTAGCTATAGAGCACCTTCACAAAAACAGATATCCAAATAGGGGAATCTACTAAACCTCAGATGAGTTTAAATCTCTGACTTTGAATTCAAAGTCAAGGTCAGTGTTCAGCTTTAATGAAAAATCACTTGGGGTTTTTACATTTTTACCACGGGTGCAGCTCCTAGGAGGCTGAGGACACTGCCAGTACTTTTCTTTCAATAACGGAGGCAGGAGGCGGCCACCGACTGGTTGTTTGATCGCAAGAAGCTACAGACATGTAGATGACAGTCCTCAAAATCATCCACAGGCACTCCAGAGGACCAGTGCACAGTCATGTTTAAGCCATAAGGTTATGTCAGTGTAACAAGCATGCTCCTCGGCACCCAACTTTGTGTCTGGCTATTATACCAAACAGCAATAATTCTCAGTGTGAAGCAAGATTTTCAGGTATGTATTAAAATCATAAACACTCAAGGTTCATAAAAGGACTTCTAGAGGGCAATCAGGATATCTTCATGCCATCCAGAAGAACTGGACAACGAAATGACCTTCAAGGATTTTTAGCAGTATCAATAAGTAATATAAAGTTAGACCTTAGTCACTAAACTTCCTGATTGTGCATGGTGCTCATCCGATTGCATCTCCAGCTCAGCAGCAGTTCCCATTTGTCCTGTTTATTGTTGAAGTCACATTATCAAGAAATCCCACGAAATGACTGAACGCACTAACAGCCCCTCAATTTAATTCACTAGTCAAACTTTTAATTCTGCATTTCCAACACGTTTCCACTTTTTGTCATGTTTTATTTGCCATTCACCCAGGAGTGCCTGCAGAATTTTTTTTCAAACGGGGGCCACTAAAAATACTGGGGTGGCACAACACAGAAAAAACTATGCCAAGTTGCCTGGTGCAGCAAATTTTGAGAGGTGGCTACTGCCCCCTCCCTTGGTGCTACCATTCACCCTTTTAGCTCTGCACCATGAGCTACTTGACCTCATCACTACTCTTTCCTACAGAAAATGAAAATGGTTTGATTTTTAAAAACAGAAATTCTCCTCAGACAGAAGCACTCAAGCAGAAGCGAAATCTCAGAGGGTTTGACTTATGTGGAGGGTGAAAAAAAAACAGTTCACTGTGATGAAGCAACGTGCCTGCCAGCTTAACAACATGACAACTCTTGTTGTGTTTTTAAATAGTTTTTGGACAGTGAAGGATCTCCTCAGAGGAGGAAGCTGTATGGCTTTGGCCTCAGTGGTAGTACAATCATTTTTTTTTCTCTGGGGATTTGTTGACAGGCGTTATAAAGACTAATGCCAGTTCTGTTCTTTTGGTACATCAGTATTATATGCACTGGTTGCAGTTCCCAGTGGTGAGCAGCTGACAGAAAATGAATCGGCAGCAGTTTGCTTGCAGTCAGCCTGCAACCGAACACCCAATGGGCCCAAATGTAGAAATGTGTCCCAAGTGTCCCATGATTATCTGCCTTAAATTTCTTGTAAATCCAGTCTTACGTTGAGCATTTCTAAACAGCAGGATTACTCAGATTTCTTTTTGTTATGTCGCCTTTTCTTAGGAGCCTTTTATGTAACATATTCAAAAGGAACTGAATCCAGATAGCCTGAAGTGTTAGACAAAACACTTATTCACACTTCCACTAAGTGTAATTTTATCAAAGTGTTGTGTTGCAGCTCAAAAATACTAATGAGCTATTTGTTTTCTGTTTAGTCTTTAATTATTTTTCAGCCTGTGACGATAATTCATGCAGTTTAGCTTCGCATGTTGCGTTCATTCTGCCCCCCCAAAAAAACGTTATCTGTCATGAGTCCGTACAGCTCGTGTGGCAGCAGTTGCAGTCTAGCTGTGCTCCAGATTCCCTCCCGCCTGTTGCCTAGCAATAGTTCGTGTCTGGCCCGGCCTCAGAGCTCGGTGTCCACTCGGAGTATAAACAGCATTGTGAGGAAGCAGTGAGGGCTGTTCATCCTCACATGAATGGACATGTGGGGCGTTTCCACTTCGACTGAAAAGGTTACGTTATGCGCAGTTTGTTTCCAGGATCCACTTGTGTGGCGTGCAAGCAGCCCCTCTGCTCTGGAGAACAGTAAACAACCTGAGTGACACATTGTTGCCTATTGTTATTCATGTATCAGTGAGCGAGTGCACTTTACACTGAGAACAGTCTGTCAGGTTTGTTTTAGCTGAAACTGAAACACACAGTTGCAAAGTGATGCACAGTGTGGGTTAAACATCCAGTAGATAAGTGTACATACAAACACACAGTCGAATATATAGTCAGCAAGGTGAACCACAGCCTGAATAACGATTGAAAGGAGAAGGTAACCTATGTTTTAAACGGCTGCTGAAAACGCATTTTCAAACAACAGAATCGGCACATGGTTAGGAAATCCAGTAGCTTCCTGCTGGGTTTCAAGCCTGCAGAAGGGCACCAAATATGAGAAGTGGGCTTCAAGTTTCACCCCACCCCTAAAGGATCGGGGTGGGGTACATTTAATTTGATCGCCTTTAGGGACGTCTGGTTGTGCAGTTCTCGTCTGTCCCATTCGAGTCCCGTGCGCTTGTGCATTTGCAAGGCATGCTGGATCTCTTCCACTTTGCTAAATTTGCAACATTTCAATTCTAATTTGATTTTGTGGAAGAGAACAAAGTTTCAGCGGTGGGATGTGGCGAGTAACTATTGTGTTGCGATGACCGAAAACACCAATG